AAAGCAAAACCGGTGCGAAACTGTGCCTGTTCCTCGCCGTGGGCTTTGTGCTGACCCAGACGGTTTTTGTGCCTCCGCCAGAGGCTTGGGAGTGGGAAGACATACTATGCGGGGGAATGAAAAGTTTTTTGGGCAGTTGTTGCTTCCCGCTCGTGTTTGCATTAGCCCCTTCAGGTGGGATTGGGCACGCGCCGAAACATTCCACTGTGTGGTGCAGTGGTCAGCACATGCATTGTGACAACGCCGGAGCGAGTGTCAGCAGATGTGTCTGCGCAGGAAGCTGCTCAGACCTTTGTCCAAACCGTGGGTGACAACAAGGATTTTTTGATAGCCTCAGCGGCTGCCTTTTGGCAGAACAGGCGTTCAAGCAGTCTGATGAGTACAAGGTCCAACGTGCAGTCGCCAAGTTCATGGAGCCTTTCGTCACAAAGATGCCCAAGCGCAAGGTCATCCACAGGAAGGTCATGGACACCATCGCCAACAGGGTCAAGACATGGGACGAGCATGCCACCATAGTCAGCGGGCGCTTCCAGACTGGCAAGACGGCCGCGGTGGAGGAAGTTCTTCGTGGTGCGCGGGGAATCTTCAAGCACACGGTGGAAGACGAGAACTGGAAGAAAGAGCTTTACGATAGCCTGCAGGTTGATGGACCTGGCATGTTTGAGACTGTCATTGTCCGTGTGAAAGCAGAGTTGGCGAAGTTGGCTGACCCCATCACCAAGACGCCAATCATACTGTTTGAAGTCCCACGCACCACAACCAAAGGCAGAGGACAAAACTTAACCACCGTTGCCCCTCAAGCTCACTAATCCTTACCCTGCTCTGTTCGGGCAGGTATGGACACCATTTCTTCGACAACGAAGGACTTATCCACGGAAGGGGGCAAAGCAGCGCACGCTGGGAACTTAAAACAAGAGCTCTATAACCGTTCCGGAAAAAGGTCATCAGTTGATAAGTAAGTGTGTTGCCGTTTCTTCGGGACTGGGTTTCAGGGGTTCTTGCAAGGTTATCATTTCTGCCTCATCAGCTGCGGCTGCACTGGCGTTCGACGCTGGTAGTGCAAATCGTCAGAAAGACATTTGGATAGATGACCTGACGGCAGAGGAGGCGAAGAAGGTGCTCA